CGGTTCAATGCAAGTCAAAGAAGACAGACGAGTTGTGAGGTTCAGATTCGATTGCGAGCTTTCTCGTAAGTCGATGCGGGACGATCACTGTGGTGCTGCTATGATTTCTGTCAAGCTACCAATCCATCATTAAGTCATTAAGCTTCCTGTGTGGGTTGAGTCTACCAGTTGTTAGCCTCCGCTTTGTGGTGCTTGCACTGCTCGGCTCTGATTTGGTAGAAGGTTTTCCTCCGTCCAGACATTGCACATACAAAGTGCTTGCATGTTCTCAACCTGCGCGGACACTTGGCAGACTTAGCATCAGCAACATGCCAGGCTTCATAAACGACAACTCAGAACGCCGCCACCGCGATGGCGGCACAGCAGGACTTGGCAAGTATGCAGCGACAGATCAACAACTTGGCCAGAAGGTGCAAGAGGGCGAAGGCCAAGGCTGCAGCCTGCAGGCAGAGGTCTTTCGGTGCGCCAGAGCGGATGCAGCGATGTCGGACAAACAGTCCGCGATGTCTCATGGTTTACTTTCTTGCTGGCCGCAAACCAGCTGCTGCCGTGGACTTTGTGCTCGGGCGTGGGTGGGCCTGTAGGTCCAAGCGCGTGGGCTGCGTAAGTCTTCCAGACGCGGAGTTGGTGCGACGAATCCAGATTGGTGTTGGGGAAGCCATCGGCAGTGCGGCACCATCAGCTTTTGTTGCCTTGCAGACAAACCCGCTTACCCACTTCGAGTTCAGCGACTTGCTTTCTGCGCATAAGTATGTTCTAGAATGGAATTTACACAACTGGATTGCAAGCCAGAATGCCACCCGAGGGGTTGCACCTTCTCGGGAGCAAGTGTGTGCACAATGTCCAATGCAAATATCCGTCCATGCTCCAGCTCAAATACAGGAGAAGTTGCGCAAACTGGCCTGTGGAAGCGCCCGCAAGCAGCGGAAGTGGCTTCAGCGTTTTCGAAATCGTTGGGGAGCACGACTTGGTGCTTTGCGCGTCCAAGAACATATTTCTCCTGAACAGCGGCTCGAGAAGGTAACCTGAGTTTGTTGGAGCAGGGCAGGTTTTCGCACGGGGTTCGGCGGCCGGCGTCTTTCTGGGTCTCCCTTGCGGGGCCGAATTTGGGTCCGTTTGCCGGCCCTCTTTTTGGGTCCGGCTGTTTCCTGTTTGTAGCCTTCTTTTGAAGGGCTCCTTCTCTTCCCAGTCTTCTGTTCGGGGTCAGGAAACGGGTCCGCCAAGTGGACCCCATTTCGGGTCCGCCGGGCCGTCGGGCAGGGTGATGTTGAGGTTTTCTTGGAGTCTTGGAGTCTAAGAGCCGTTCCGACCGAGGCAGCAGCTTATTTCCAGTGGATCAACTTCGCGCTCAGCTCTGGGCCAGCAGGTCTAAGGCCCCTGGTCCTCAACATGGACGAAACAGCCATTGGGAGGTGCTTCCCTGGCTTGCGTGGAACCATCGTCAACACGGCCTCCAAGGTAGGCAGTCCGAGTGAACATGCTTCTTTGTCGCAGCGCAGAAGCTACATGTCGTATCTAGCCTGTGTGGCCGACGATCGTACAGTTCAGGCCAAGCTTCCGCAGGTCTTACTGGGGAACAAGCACCAGTTCACGCTGAACTTTCTTCGCTCCATAGCTGGGAAGTTGCCGCCGAATATTGAGCTCTGGAGACAGACATCTTCCTGGAATTCCCATAGCACTATGCGTAAGTGGTTGAGTTTACTTGCAAAATCCTTGGGGAAGCTCACTTCGGAGAGGTATGTCGTGCTCCTTCTTGACGTTCATCCGTCGCACATTCACAATTCCATTTTTCTCCATGCAAGGCGCTGTGGCGTCAGGATAGTGTATATTCCTGCCAAGATGACGTGGTTGTTGCAACCATGTGACACACACGTCTTTGCAAGACTGAAGTTGGCTCTGCGACTGTCTTGGCAGGATCAGAAGTCGCGAAGTCCAGATGGAGAGGTTTCCACCGAAGACTGGATGCGGCTGGTGTGCCAGTCTATTGTCTCTGTCGTGTCTAAGGGAGATTGGCGCCGAGCTTTCTTGAGGAATGGAGTTCTTGATGCCCAACAACAGATATCAGACAGATTACGAGCTGAACTGGGTGTCCACGGTGACAGGATCTGGTCCAATGAGCAGCCAACGCCGGATGCGGTCATGTCCATCTTTCCAGCGCGCTGGAAAGTCGACGTGCTCTCCTATGTACTGTGGCAGCCGAAATCCCAGCGGGCTAAGGGCAGGGAAGAGTCCAGTTGCCTGGCGTCCGCTTCGTCCAGAGATGTAGTTGTCCGGCCAGTCGTGCGCCGTGTGCTCCCTGCCACATTCCAGCAGGCGAAGACGTGCGCAACTGAGCGAATTCGTTCGCTAGACTGATGCCAAGGAACTCAGGAGGCCCTCTCCGCGCGGCAGCAGAAAACCACGGTTTCCGGAGACCTGGATCCGGGGCCGTTGCAGTTGTGAATGCATATTCCAGCGTTTGTTGGCTTACACATTTGCTGGCTTTTGCATTTGCTGCCTTTTGCATTTGCTTGGCTTTTGCATTTGCTCTTTTTTGCGATCGAAGAATGATGCATTTGCTAAGTTTTGCGCCATACTTTTGCTCTTTTTTGCATTCGACAGATGTGGCATTTGCTAATTTTTGCACGGACTTTTGTTATTCTTTGCATTCGACGGCAGCCATTTGCTTGCTGAGCTAAGTCTTAGCCTTTCCTTTCAAGCTTCCAACGTGTGTGCACTCCCTGTTCCCACAAGTGGGGAGCCAAGAAACTGGTTTGAACACCCATCCTTTGCCGCATTTCTTTATCTGGTGTCGTTGGCAGGCCTCAAACGCCTGCGGAGATCGCTGCAAAGATGACGCAGAAAATGACCGTGGCAGACATTGCCAAAGTCTTCCAGGCCAGGGCCTTCGTTTTTGGCTTTGGTTAGTCACAGTTAGCCAACCAATTGAGTCCATAAT